CTAGAGCCAGAGAGGCAGCGAGACAGAGAGGACAGAAGACACCGTGAGGCAGTGGACAGGGAGCAAAGGTTTTTTAGAGAGATGAGGGAGAAAGCAATGTGGGAGGAGCACTTCCTGGCAGTCCTCAAGAAACTGGTCAACAAAATAAACACAAATAACTCATTACCTGCTTCTGTCATTATTGTTGTTCTAGAGTTTTAACCAATCACAACTAACTGTTCAAACACAACAAGGCAAGTTAATTTGTATAGCACATTTCAACAACAAGGCACTTTGAAGGGCTTTATATAAAACATTAAGTATTGAGACAAAGTGAGAAATAAATGCATTATTTAAATACAACTAGAACATTTGAACATTTGAAAGAGCTGAACATTTTGTGTCCCAGTAACCGATAACTGTGCGGCAGAGAGCATGTACAGTACCAGGACCCTGAAACTGAAGCAACTATATGGAATATGTCATCTTTAACATTATTTACACGCTTTCCCTACTGTCACAAGTCAAAATATCTTCCGGCCTATTGCATTGTTGCGTTGCATTGTTGGACAGGTCGTCCTTGGAAACAAACTCTTAACACACGGGATGCACTTTGTATTTTTGTCAGCTGCAACAACAGTTTGTTTGGACGGGCAGAAGAAGAGGAACTGTGTTTTCAGCATCAAAACCAACCGCTACCTACAACTTCATCAACAAAAGCCGCATTAAAGACTGTGACAGATTAATACAAATGGATTGCAGAGAAATCGTAACGAGGGAGAAAGAGAGAGAGAGAGTGGTGGGCCTATAAAGATGGCAGAAAAAGGTAAATATAGAATTAGTGAGAAAAGGGGATTAGGGAGAGACTAGAGAAGAGAGAGTGAGTGGGATGTGCAAAAACAGGGTGAGTGTATGTGTGTGTATGATAAAGACAGTGAGCAAGAGAAAGTATATTACTGTATATTGGTTCTGTTAGAACTTCTGTTAATAACTTCAAGGTTAAATGCAATGTACGTAATTCGGACTATCATAGGGCTAAAATTGCAGTACTTTGACAAATCAGTTAGTTGACGTTTGGACTGTACAGTTATACTGCTGGTTGATCTTGCCCAGTGAAATCATCCTCCCCTGAGGCACAAGTGTCAGTGCCCATAATGCTTAGCTGCATCTGCCACTACACCTCTCTCTCTCTTTGTCTCACTGGAAGATTTTGCGATGAGGTGAAAAGCAGGGAAGTGTTCAGATGGCGTAAGAGTTCAAAAGTGTTTTTTGGGAACAAACTGTCTGAATCAGTGAACAGGACTCAAAGGGCAAAAAAAAAAAAAAGGTGACGCTCTTAAACACAATGTAGCAAAGCTAGACACTGGTCCTGATTTTGTTTTTGTACAACACAAGGAGAGTCAGCTGGCTTGAGACACGTCTGAGGGAGAAATAAAGTTAACTCTAAATGTATCAGTAATCCTTGGGTTATCTCTATTGTCTTAAAAGTAGCAGAGCGATGTTGCAACCACATGAGAAAGATGAACAAGTGGGACTAAAGGAAATTGTGGAGTGTATCATCTACATTGGTGGTCCTTACAGATGGGTACCAATCTGTATGTAACTGTATGAAAGCAGCATTTTTCTGTTGTAATTAGTCTAACTTTTATTGTGCAGTCCAGGGGTTCTTAACCTTTATGGCAGTCCGACCCCTTTTTGAGGTTGAAAAAATTTCACGACCCTCCCACACACCTCCATCCTACTCACTTAATGGGATCAACATTAGCTAGGTAGCTTAAGGCATAGACAGTATATTAATGAACGAAGCCACCCCGCTGATTTGAATGGAGAGCAGTGAAGCCAGTTTTGGACCAATGAAATACTACAGGGCTACTTCCTCTTGTCACCAGAGTCTACTGCGCATGATCGCGCAGCATATGCGTGGTTTAAAGAAACACTCTAATTCTGGTAGCTGCATAGCTGCACTAACAATAAGTTTCCTGGCTCAGTGTGTTTGTCTGACTCAGATCCTCACTGATTAATCATCCCACCTATGAGGCTCAGCTGCCAAACACCAACACAGCGTCACTGATGGCCGAATAGTTGTTTTAGATTCACTAGAGAGTTTATAGTCTAAGCAATACGGTTACATCTCTCATGTGGGACGGGATGTCACAGGGTTTTGACGTCATTTTTGCAGGCTTTGGTCAGCTTCACTGTTTCATATATTCACATTTTGGAAAACTGTGTTTGAAGTCCACATGAGTCGCAGAGCCTATTTCTGCTGGGCCTTTGCTTAGAGAAAGTTCCAGTATGCATCAGTAAGCTTCAGTCCCATGCAGAGTGAGATTAAAATTGGCTCCCGTGCTGTGAAAAGTTGAAGAAACAGAAAAACCTCAGGTTCCAGACGACAGAGCACAGTATGTCACAGCCGCAGGACAAGAGCTCAATGTCATTTCACAGCTTTAAGAGGAGAGTTGAATGCTGGCAGGGATTTTCGGGAAGAGAACCCAAACAGAGGGAGGTGCGAGGAGGAGGTACAGGAGGGGGACTAGTCCAAATACAGTACGTATAGTGATCACGGTTACAGAATATTTCCCATACAAATGCTGTTTAAATCATTTGCAAATAATCAAGTAGTCTGCTACAGTGTTTAATTTGGGGTCTTTCATACATGACATCATATGGGGGAAAAAATAAATACATTATATATGTTTGTTTTCAATAAGCACTGAAACCACCTAGCTGTGGCTTTTTAGCCTATCTGCACTACTGATCATTTGAACTACAGTGAGCTCTATTTTAGGTACTCCATTACTATATTATTGTTTTTGAAAAGCCTTTGAAACAGCAGTACAGTAAGTCAGTAAATAGTGAAGCTGTTTGTTTCATTGATTTATATCCCTGTAATAAGGGATAGATGGTAATCTACATGAGAAATGAAGAAAAAGAAGAAAGATCTTATATACAGACGTGATCACTTTAAGAAGTTTCCGCTGTCCATCCCTGTCAGTCAGCACACACACACACACACACACACACACACACACACACACACACACACACACACACACACACACACAGTGAGGGGGCAAAAGGTCAGCAATGTGTGTCTGGTTTAATTATGATGAAATATATGGCAGCAATGTGGACAGCACCCAGGTGCATACTGGGAAGACAGGCTGTCACCAGTCTGTCAGTGCCTGTCTGCCACAGCTCTGACACACGCTCGCTCACCTGTGCGCACACGCACACACACACACACACACACACACACACACACACACACACACACCTTCTCTCTCTGTGTGGATTTTGAGTTGCATTACATATTGAGAATATACATGTTGATTCTTCAAGCATTAGCAGTCAAATGTAGCCCACCTCCTTCCTCCCTTGTTCCCATGTGGTGAATATGCATCTCCTGCACAAGGAACATTAGCACATAAAATTTGAAAAAGTATGATGAGTGGAGTTGTACATGTACGAATATGTACACCAAATCTTTGCTTTTAAAATAGTTTTTATTTCATAAACAATATCTCAATTCAACTTCAGCCAGTCACATACACAGTAAAGATGGAAAAGAAAAGAAAAGAAAATGGTTGAATTAGAATAAGAAAAAAAACCCCAACAAGAACTGAGCATTCATGTCTGCTCCTTGAGTAGCAGCTTATGAAGTCCGCTCATTGTGTGAAGAAGATGCCGAGACCTAAAGAGTGCTCCACATGGAAGTTGCAGGTTCAAGCACCCGCCCTGGTGAAATATCTGTGAGCAAAGAAAATGAATTCATTACAGCTACAGGGATGAGGATCTGTAGCCGAGCCTGACTTTTCACCTCTGACCTGCATATGGATGGGAGCAACTATCTTTCTGGGAACCATTATACAGTAGTATTTCAATTGGCACTCGAAGTTAAGGATGTCCCATTGTCCCGGGGACAATAAAAATAGCACCTGGGACGCAAAGATATGGTGTCTGGGACAATTCTTCTCTTCTAGAAAAACGTATCATTACAAATGAAATTATTATGATTATGCGTCACGGCATATGTATCAGTTTAATTTTTACGTGTTCAAATTCGAAAGATTTGAGGAGGCACCGACACGCTCTATGCTACATCACCCGTCTTCTTACACACACAGCAGTCATAATAAAGAGGGACCAGTGTTGCTAACCTGGTGACTTTCTCACTAGGTGTAACAACTTTTCAGAGCCTTTTAGGGACTTTATTGCTAAAAACGCGATTAGCTAATTTAGTGACTCACTCAGACCCTCAGGAAATAGGTGAGAAATATATTCAAATATATTATACTGTAATTCATTCCCATGCATGTGGCTCAGAGATTCTTTCCCTCCCTCCATCTCTGGATAAGGGTGTTCCTATATCTTGTAAAAATTTAAATAGTTTTTTTTATCTTCACCTGCCCTTTGTTGATTTTTATGTATTACTTTTTTACTTCAAATATGTGATGTCCCCGTAGTGAGTTTGTGGTTACTTGGCTAAATAATAATAATGTTCAAAGTGTGTGTATGTAAATGTCCATAGGCGCATACCAATCAGAAACAGGTTTCCATTTGCGCTGCAGTTTGCAGTGATGCAAAAGTTAGAAAAAAAACGAGAAATAGTAATTCAACCTAAGAATAAAAGATAATAAATACTGATTGGAGCAAAACACCAAAGTTGATTTCCATTTTTTATTCACATAAAAGTGCAGGGAACTTACTCCTGGAGTCAATGAAGTGACGCGAGTTACTGAAACAGTTACTAAAGTAAGTTAAAGTTATTTAACTATTGTTATTATGTAGAATGGAAAAAAAAAGTCAAAAGTCAAACTTCAATTTGGGACAATGCTTATTAAGTCTGGGACTGTTCAAAGTAGAATTCGGGACAGTTGCGGGACACTGAGGACAAATGTGACTTTCAAGCCCCAATCTCCATATTCTCAGACAGCTCAGACAGTTTCTCATATATTATTTGCATCATCTGCTACATTTGCTTTTTATTCAAATCAGAGAAGACAAAAAAGATTTATGCTGGGCACCTTTCTCATCCTCTGCTTTATTCTCTGCTCATGCTTATCATGGTGTGGTTACATTGGAAAATAATATGTCGTTTAAGATCGTAAGAGCAAGTCATCAAATCATCAAATAGACATAAATAAATCAATTTAAATACTGAAAACACAACATTTTGGTCCATGGTGTAAATGGAGCTAGAAAAGATTCACATTGTCTCCCCAGCTTCAAATAGGGCTGGATAGTTCTTTACATGTTGGAAGACCTTCACCTGTGTGGCTAGACTATCACAAATTATCTCTAATATATAGCCAGATATTGCCAGATATTGTGCAAGATCAAAGTCACTATTTGTGCAAAGAATGTGTGCTCCTCTACTATAAAAGCTTTGACAGGTGTCAGTTTTTAGTTTGAGTTTTAGAAAAGTTTCCCACAATAGAACGACACTAGGACAACATTAAGAAGGCATTTGCTGTATAGAACTCCTTTTGCCTTAGATTAACTCAATTAGAAATGCTTTTTATTAAAGAATACACCAAAATGCACACGTCACAAAAGCCATTCACGTAATGTTAGAAAGATAACCCACAGGCCATGGAACGGTTGTCTGTACAGTGTGATCCGTCCATCCACTCGTTCATCTATCCCTCATTAGTGACTCACCGGTGAAGCTAAGGTTGGTGAGGCGTTGAGGGGGATCGACTGTGGGTCGGTCGGTGAGCTGTGCTGGGCTGGACAGTGCTTCACCATGCTGTGCCTGAGACAAACTGTGCAAACGCTACTGTGCTCTTCGTCCTCTGGGCTACCAGTGCTGCTACTGTACAGTAAGTACGGTATCACTCCAGGGGAGGCTGTGGAGATGTGTGAATGTGTGTGTGTGTGTGTGTGTGTGTGGTACAAACGTTGGCCAGGCAGTGATTAACTCGGGTCTCTCTGTGACCAGTCAAATTGTAAACAGGAGTTAGTCAGTCAGTTTTTATGTACAGTCGGGCATAAAACATGTACTTCCTTCTTAAGGAGACGAAGCAGAAAAGATGCTTTGAAGCCCTGTCGAGTTCGTTGTTTGGCTTCTCTGCGAAAAATGTTTTTTTCATTCTCGTCTTCACTTTTAAATTTCCTGTCTTTCAATTCTAGACGAAACAGCGTCAGTCTGTGTTTCCAGAGGTTTTTTGTTTCTCTCCAGTTGCTGATAAATCAGTTGTTATGAGGTAACCAAGGAGTAGATCATACTGAAACACAAGAAGAAGAAACAGGTAGTAGGATGTGATTGGACAGCCAGGCAGACGGTAAAAGTGAAAATTACACACTTTAAATCATCTAATGGCCTGTTAGATGCATCCAGATAAAGCATTTGTGCACTGTGTTGTTCAAACATTTCATTGATCCATAGTTAGTTTTTCTGCTGAGTCACCGCTATAATGATGTCTCAACTGCTTGCAGATTAATGAGGAGTCTGTTGGTGTGTTTATTTTAGTTGCTGACGGCAAACTTTCATGTGTGATGTCCTTTTTGAAGCTTTTCTGTCATAATCTGCATTATTCAGAGTAATGCTGTGTCCTCACTTTTGTTTTCTGAAGGCTGAATTATGCTTCTCCATCAAAGTGCTGTAGTATTGCACGTACAGTCAGGTCCCACCATAGTTGACCTGCACAGTTACGTTTTTTTGTCACCTCTGCCATGGGAGCAACACTGTGATTGGTTGCATTACAGGAGTATTAATAATCAATGGCTTAAAGCAAGATTATGTAACGTTTGTCAAAATAAATCTTCCATTAACAAATGAAAAGATAAATTCATAAGCAATCAAACTCAGCCTTGATCACTTCAATTTGTTCATGGGTTTTGCTTCTACAGCCTTACTTGGTTTGGTATGACAAGTAGCTTAGAGTGGCTAATTAGCTAATGTAAGCAAATATGAGATACTGTATATTGCCATTTGATGACTTAATGAGTCTGCCCTTATTGACCCTTTGCTAAGCCACGCCCCCCTTGGTTACTATTGCTAAGTCCGACAAACTGTCCGACCTGTCGGACTTTTAGCACGGCGCTGCCACAGTCTATTACTGCACTCCCTGGAGAAATATTGTCTCATTTTTGGAAAAAGCGGAAAGGAAAAAAAGGACAGTTTTGCAGTTGCATAGTGCACTTGAAGGTTGTATTCGGGCTGTCAAACATAAAAATACAGACAGAAGCTAAAGCCTACCGATCACAGAGTAACTTAAAATTTAACCACCGTATTAACTTAACTGGCTATTGAGAAAGAGGACAACAATATTAAGGATCAACAGTGTTCCTGTACAGCTGGGTAGGTCTCTATTCACTATTGCAATCATTACAAAGCAGAACAGTAGGGCTTTACAATGTTACATTCACTAGTAAGTTTGATAGCTAACTAACATTACATTAGGAACATTCCATAGCTACATTTTTCTGGATTTGTTTTAGGTTTTGGAAAGAGAATACATCTTACTGTTTCTTTCAACTTCTCTGGGTAGCAACTGTAACTATTACAAGTGCCCCAGGAACAGTGTTTGACCAGATCTTGGAAAACTCTTTTTTGCAAACGTGTCCGCAGGTGGAGCGCAGCCATGAAAGTGTCGGACCTCAGTTAGAGCTAATCCTATACTGCACTGTGATTGGATTGCTGCGTATTTGGTGCATGGCTTAGTGAAGGGTCAATTGTGATACTCTAAGCAGGCGTTCAGACTAAAACAGCCCTGCACTAAAAAAACTGGCTGTGTTGGTGGGGGGTTGCAGGTGAGACATAGAAATACGAACCAGTCCTGTTCGAGTAATTGTTGTGTAGTAATGTCTGATAGAACTCAATGTATTATATTGTATGTATGTTAATGTCTGTACTGTCTCTATCCTCTCACCGTCTGTGGCTGCAAAAACACTTTCAAAAACAAATCTCATTCCGTCTGAATGCACCTTTACAGACTCCTCTCATCCTTCTCTACACACTCTACGCAACTCACAGACAAATCATTGTACCGTGTCAATAATTAATCATCATTAATCACTGTTACATTAATCACTATTTGAGAAAAAATAAAATGCCTAACATTGTTTTAATGGATTTAAGTCTTATTATCTGCAACTACAGTAACACACATTGGCTGAACAGGATCCTTCTTCGTAGTTCCAAATACAGAATTCACTAGTATTGCTTGTCCAGGTGGAAGTTGCAGGTTCAAGCACCCGCCCTGGTGAAATATCTGTGAGCCAGAAAATGAATTCATTACAGCTACAGGGTTGAGGATCTGTAGCTGAGCCTGACTTTTCACCTCTGACCTGCATATGGAAGGGAGCAACATCTCTCTGGGAATCGTAGTGGCTTTAATTTAGCTAATAAGGAAAATCACAATAGTGAGTCCTAACCTAAGTTTAAAATGCACAAAATGATATAAGAACATATACTGAACAAACCATCTTTATATACAGAGCTGTAAAGGCAATAAGTTACACATGAAATTGTTACGATCTTGCCTTTTCACTGTTACCATTGTGTTAATGTAAAAAAAACCAACAACCATAATTTCTCCATTAATTGTCTTAATTTCTTAATACATTTTTAGGTTTTTACCATGGCCTAAAAATGTAAAAACAACACTCCTTCCTGGCATGTTTGTGCTGTTTTACTCAAAAAAGACTGCAGCTGTGGAAAGGTTACTGAATGCAAAAGAAAAAGCAAAAGCTGATGAGCATCATGTAATGCAATGAACATGTACAAAACAAGCTGTAAGACACACGTCACTGCAAAGGGATTTCACCACAATACTGTTTTTGTTTAAGTAAACCATTAAAAGAGATGAGCTTCAGCCCTGATGTGATCAACATACTATATATATTTTTGACCAAAGGCACAGTGATCTGTGATGTTCACCTGAAAAAAAGGGAACAATAAAGGATTACATGAAACAGTGTCAGACAAAATCACAGATTGGGGATTCAACACTTGTGTCGCTGAGCTGTGACTTGACAAGAACAGATTAGCGCCTTGTTGACAGTAACTAATGCTCCCAAACGTTTGTGTTCATCCCTGAGGCCTTTTGGAGCTCCTAACACCTCCGTTAATCTCTGCTTGTGAAAAGACTGCAAGTTCACTCTGTTGCCTCATGAATATCCATGGACAGAGATAAAATGTGAGACAAAGGGAGACAGGAGAAGATACTGTGAGGGGAGAGGCAGACAGATCAAGCATAAAACCTCCTTGATCTCCTCCCACTAAAACAAATGAGAACTGGCTTTGTCATTAATATATTAGATTAAATTTGATTAAACTGTCTCCCATGTTTTGGATTTTATTGGAAGGAACATGCAGTATCTTGGTGTAGGACATCTGTGCAATATTTTGGTGTAAGGTGTCTGTATGAAGGCATTATTGGAGCAAAACAACTGAGCACCTGTGAAAGTTGAATTTGTAGCAGATAGTGTTCTACAATATCTTCTACTATTTGTAGAAACAGTCACATGTGTATCAGTAAGTTTAAAGTCACAGAGAGAAAAAAGACTTTAGGAGTTGCAAAAACACTTTTATTTTCTCTCACACAAGCACAACAGTTACACCTTCTCTGATTCTTCATTGCAGGCGCACAAATTCTATTCTACGAATCACAAATGAAGACGCTCACACACTCACAATTTTACTTACAACAGTTGTTGCAGTGAATATGGTGCAAAAGGCAATTTTCACACCCGTGTAAAAAATGTTAAGTCATGGCCACAATGTGCACATCTGCAGATCAGTATGTGAATTCATGCAGTACGAGTAGCACACCTGGGGCCGTATTACAGAAACTTCCTAACCGGCAGATCCTATCCTAACTGCTTGGTAACCATGGTAATAATGGTTAGGAACTGATTTAGCAAAAAGGCCATTACAGATTAACAGTTCCTAAGTCAATGTTCCTTTCCTAATTTTAGATACAGGACAGAAGCATCCTGACTTCGTAAAATCTTAAATGAAGTTTCCTAACTTTAGGATAACTGTTGAGCTGTCCTAACTTTTACTTTACTTTTCCACCAGGTAGTGTTTGCTAACTCGTTTAATCCACATGGTTGCTCTTTAATTGCTTTTACAAAATCAACAGAATGTCAACAAGCGGAACTGATTCTACTGATGTGTTATATGAAAAACACTGGTTAGTAGAAAGACTGTAGGAGATGTAAGATAGGCTAAAGTCTCATTATGTAACATAATGTAAAGGCTTGATGTAACAAAAGGATCCTAATGCAAGTCTTTGATAGGAGGAGATCGTTAAATTCAAGAAATACATGAAAACATGATGACGTTATCCCGCAGCCTTTATTATTGTTTTTTTTTCCCCTTCATTATTAACTTTCCCGAGAAGAGTAGCCTACAGGTTTCTGCCGGGGTCAGTGAGGGAGCACAGGAGGAGCCACCGCCGGTTTCCTCTGTTCTTTGGACACAACAACTGCCTTTCTCTTCGTATCACTTTTCAGTGGACTTATTTTCTTTTTAACGCTCCACTGGATGCCGGTTATGCGGCGGTGACTGTGTCCGCTATTTTAGCCCACTCTCTATCTGTAATCTGCCGTGATAAGCGTTACGTGGATTTGGATTTCTCCCCGGATGTTACCAACACCTCTAAGTCATTTGACTTGAGGTTCAATGATGTTTTTGTTTCTGCTCCATTTTCAGTGCGAAACAACGGCCGTTTAGCTCGGGAGATGAGATAAGTGGCATCAGTTGCTAGGTAAGAGACATAAAAGTTGATAACCAATGTTGGATTGCGTATTTAGGATTTCCTAACCTGAGATAAGATAGGATGAAGTAAGACAGGATTCCTAAAGTTAGTCAGGATTTGCTTCTCAAATACCAAATTGGGGAAAATCCTATCTTAGACTCTTCCTATCTTAACTATTTTCAAGCCTGAAATGCTGTTTTTTCACTCCCAAATGACAAGTTAGGAGTGAGCGCTCTCACTTTTGCATATGATGTGTAATCTCAATTTAAAACAATCAGTATGAAGCTTTAGACACTTATCTGTGAATAATTATCTCTAACACTCATAATGTTACTGGTCATAATGGAATATAATTCCCATAATATTTAAGATTATATGTTAATATTTCATGGCGGTGCTGCAAAATGACATGCAGACCGGAAGGGCCGAGTGTCTGCCGCTGGGCTGTCCCTCCACGCACACAGAGCTTGAAAAAACTATTGACCCTGTCAGGAGTTTTGTTTTGACAATCAATGTCA